CTTCTCTGGACGCGGTATCCTGTCGGAGAGCCAAGGACCCGTCTGGCTCATTGGCACTGGATCGGAGCACAACGTCCTCGTCCAGTACAACATCGCGAACGCTGCCAACCACTTCTTGGGAGTCATCCAGACCGAGTCGCCGTACTACCAGCCTGTTCCCGCTCCTCCAGCTGTGAGTACTGCGTACTCGTTTGCGCCCAATGCGAGACGAATTCTGATGTCTTTCCTACGACGCAGCCGTTCTCGATCAACGCCGCGTACCAGGACCCGACCTCGTTCAGCACGCCCGGCAATGCTTGGGGTCTCCAGGTCAAGAACTCGAGCAACATTCTGATCTACGGCGCTGGCTTGTACAGCTTCTTCAACGTATGTCCCGTCCACCATATCGCTCGCAGAGCCCGTCATTGACCCTGCTGCAGAACTACGTTGCGGACACTTGCGTCGGGCCCGCGAACTGCCAGAACGCGATCGCGAACATCGACACTGCGTCGAGCAACGTCGTCATCCTCGGCTTGTCCACTGTCGGTGTCACGAACATGCTGAACGTGAACAACGCCGCTGTTATTGCCCAGAGTGCCAACAGGTTTGGTACTCAGGCGACAGCCATCAAGTGGACGAGGTAAAGATCTTACGACGCGATGTCATCTTATTCGTTCCCTTTACGGTCCTGTTCATGTACTTCGTGTCTCGTCCTGTGTATCCAACGTAGCAGCAGCAAATCACGAACCCTCTTTTTTGCACACGCACCTCACTCGCTGCCATACGTTACACATTTCAGGAAGCTGTTCAAGTACGTTACATATTTGATAACATTACACCATCAAGAGTCAAGACTTGTCTGCGAACTTGTCCACAACCTTCTGCTCGCACAGTCGATATGTATCGACAATATTAGAGTAGACGTGGGTAATGTCGCTTCGTGCATTCTTGACGAGCTTCAGACTACCGTGCACTACGCCACTGACGCCGGCGGCATGCATGGCGAGAACGGCGCCGCCGACTGCAGCACCCTCCTTGGTTTCCGCAATATAAACGTCCATGCCGAATATGTCCGCGGCGAGCTGCTGGATGGTGGCGTTGACCGACCCGCCGCCGACGAGGATAAGCCGACGTAGCGCTTCCTCGTGCGCAGGCAAGATGGCCAGAAGTCGCGCCTTGATGCTAAGCAGCTGGCTCTCGAGGATTGCGCGCGCATGTACGTGTTCGTCGAGGTCTTTTCGCTTCACCTCCTCCGCGCCACGAAAGAAGAACTCGCCATGCACGAGAGGGGGGATGATCTCTACTTCTGGGAAGTAGAAGCCGAAGATACCGCCGTTTCCAGGCTCGGTCTTTGCGACGTCCGCGTCGAATTCGTCCCACGAGCGCGACGGGCCGCGGACGGCCTCTCGTGCGAGGGCGCCGTTCTTGTAGCACAACATGACTATGCGCGCACGCCGCTCGAGCGGGTGGGCAAGGAGATGCGATGTCGTGGTGCGCAGCGGTGGTTCGTCAGCCGGTGGGGTCGAAAGTAAGAACGTTGTCGAAGTCCCCAACGAGAGAATCGCGTCTCCGGGTGTGCTGACTGCGATAACGCTGGCGGGATTATCACCGGTCCATGGGGTTACGACACAATCTGCACGATACCGTCAGTCAGCAAGCTGCAGGTGAAGGCGGATTACGAGGTGGTGTGTTCACCTGGAGAGAAGCCCCAACGCTCGACCCACCACTTGCTGACCGTGCCCCAGCTGACACCACCGAGAACGGGCTCGGCGCCGAGTTTCGAGCGCAGAGCGGATCCACCGCAGATATCGAGCAGCTTGTCGTTCCATTTATACGTTACGATGTCCATGAGGTTCATTCCCGACGCGTCGCCGACTTCGATGGGTGCGAACGCGCCGAGGAACAGCGAAGCCGCAAAGGACGAAACGAGGGAGATGTGCGCCGTCGCTTCGTACGACTCTGGTTCTTCTTTGTACACCTAGAAGAGCATTAGAGAATGCGAAACAGTGCTTCATGTGCGCGCGTACCTTCAAGATCTGTGGTCCAGTGAACCGTTCGTACGCGCGACTTCCTGTGAGGTCTGCGAGAGCTTGCGCGCCGCCTGCCGCCTCGGTCAGAGTCTTGCACGCTGCAGTCGTCGACGAGTCCATCCATATCGGCGCGTCTGGGCGCGAGAACGCGTGCGGGACGAGCTGCTCAGCGAGTGATCTGCCAGCATCGAGCTGGGCGAGCAGCGTTTCGCCCTGTTGCGACCACCATACAGAGCCGTGTTGCTGTTATGTCTGGTCAGCTGCTTTTCAGAAATTGCAGTCGCGCGCACCTGTCCCGAACCGCTAACTGCAGCAATTCGGTCGAACGGCGCGTTGGACGCCTTGAGCCTGGCCATGACGACGTCGAGCGCGTCAATTCACATGGCCACGGGCGCCGTGACGCGGCCATTGGGACCATGATGAGCGCCGCCAGACGTCTTGTGCTGGGGCAGATCCGAGTCGAAATGGACGGCGGCGGCGTGGGCGACGGCGCCTGCTTTGGTGACCAGGACCGCCTTGAGCTGCTGACTGCTCAGGTCGAGTCCGAGATACAGAGCTTCTGAGCTCGCCATCGTCGAGCGTCGCAGGCGAGGCGCACAACGAGATTATTATATGGCGAGCGACAGCAAATATTCCGACCCCTGACCATCCGTGGCGACGAGCTCGCGCTCCAGAACGACGCACAACGCCCAACGAAGCCCTAGCCCTGGAATCAAGGCCGCCATCGTTTGCCCCGGCCGCGGCGCTGTCTGGCCCCCATCCAACCCGCAATTCTGCGCACACTGATCGTATTCTCCGTATTCCTGCCTGGACATTCGCTGTGTCGCCGTCGTGGTCGACCTGGGCGCCAGCGAGCTCGTGTGATCAACGCCCTCACTGACCTTCAAGTACGGAGTCGTCCGGGGACTGAGTCTATCGCGCGGCACCTCTTCTTCCTCCCGGCGCACGCGACCGACACCCACCTCGCACTTTCCATTCCCATCTTGCAATTGAGAGAGATCCGCTCACACGTCCTGACAACCCCTATTGACTTTCCTGCTCGCCAACATGCTTCTTGACGCATTCAAAAACTCTTTGGTACGGTTCCCAACTTCCCCGTGCCCTCGAAAAACAACCTTACCCATAATTTGCGTCTCCCGACCCAGCTTGGTCATTCTCGCGCGCGCGATTCGTTGAACTGAGCTGCCGTTGCGACGTTTTGTGACGATCCCGCTTCTTCGCGTTTGGAGACATCTGTTCAAGTTCATGTGAGTCCATGCGCTCGCACATCCTTCTTCCCCCTCCCACGCACCCTGCTCGAGGCGATCTCTTCAATATACTTATCTTATGCTCCCCTTCGGCCGCGCGTGTCCCCTCTGAGCGTTGTGCCCGGTTGCGAGCCTTTGAGCGTTCCCATCGACCAGACCGACACTAACCTCACCGCCGTCGATAGAACTCGTCCTGTGCGCGACGCGGGTACCGAGAGCCCTTCTCATTGTCCACTCCGAGACCGAACCGGACGTGCCGTCAATGCTGATTGCCTAACCGCTGCAAGAGACGTATACACGCGTCCATGGTCGTCTTTCCATCCCTCGAACATCATGATGTTGACACGGAGCGTGTCGTCCAGCACGAAGACGAAAGGTCGCGAGTTGCGGTCCGGGTGTGGAGATCTTCGCTCAGACCGAAACTGACACCGAGTAACACGAACCGGCCGGGACAACAGCGCCGCCGCCGCGACAGGATACGCAAGAACGACGAGTCCAAGTCTCGATCATACAAAGAATGCTAGAACTACCATACTTATCCGACTGTCGCACGTTACATTCTCTCAGACCTCTCTGGCAAGCGTGGGGATAGCACGAAGCAAAATCTGACATTCACGTCTGGCTAGCATGACCGCGGCCATGATAGTGGCAAGAGCTGTTGTCTGATTATCTGATCACGAGTATCGTCACTAGTGTATAAAAATAGTGTCCATTTCACATCACACCCCTGCTCACAAGCCGCACTTGCTCTCGGCGACCTTCTTGTACATGACATTTGCCACACCAATCTTCTTCGCCTTGCCGCCCGTCAACTTATTCATCGCGTTGAGACCCATGTTGAACGTATCCGCCTTGTCGATCGCGGTAAAGTAAACGCTCGTCCCGTTGTAGCTGAGCTGGTAACAACTCCCGCACGCCGCAGAGTTCCAGCCCGTAACGGCCGGGGCACCGCCGACGTAAGGGAACGTCTCGAGCGCCCCGATGGTCTTGTAACCCTTTGTGTTCAGGCCGTGCGAACCGTCGGAGCAGGCGATGTTAAGCGTCGAGAGCTTCGAGTTGTCGTACACTGTGTCGTAGGACACGGTGCCCTTCGAGCTCGTCGTCGCAGCGAGCGAGAGCGAAATGGGGAGAGCGGCGGCGATGACAGCGGAGAAGCGCATGTTGGGTGATGTGAGACGAGTTGAGAGTTGGCAGTGAAATCAGAGTGTGCCTGCACAGAGCATTTATACACAGTCTGAGAGGCATATCACGATCGCAGCGTTGCCTCACGAGACGTCTCGGAGTACGCGAGACGCGTCTGCGGGCCGAGCGGTACATGCGCGAGCTGTTGAATAATACTACCACGGCCACCGCCGCCACCGTGACTTCCGCCGACGAAGAGTGAATTAGTAGCCTGAGCCGGCAGATGTGTAAAGTCAACGGAGCTGAGGACATGTACGGAGACGTGCGCCGCCGTCCTCCAGGCCCGAGGGAATGAGATGTAGTACCTGCCCGCGTGAGCCAGCTTCCCGCGTGTTTCATTCGCGAGCACCTTCAATGAGACGGCGTAGAGGTATGTGACTTAGCTGCCACGCACCGCGGAGTAGAGAACCTCGATCGCTCCGTACCGGCATCCTCCGACCCAGCCTCCGCGACTCTAAAAAACGGTTGCAGCTCAAACAACACTACACGATAAAAACTACGCGATTTCCTGAGCAGCAGAAGCAAAAGGGCTCAGCCGGGAATTGAACCCGGGGAAGCAAAAGGGCTCAGCCGGGAATTGAACCCGGGGCCTCGCGCATGGCAGTCACGTGACTGGGATATACACCCGAAGCGCGAATCATACGACTAGACCACTGGGCCGACGCACGTGATCCCGGAGCTATAGTCAGGATCCATTACAAACAACGAATATGTTCCAGACGTGCACAGGCGATGTACACAATGACAAGTGCATGGCCATCCGTCCGTCCGTCCATATTTTCTTAGACCTATTGATCCCGGTGCGCTTTATAAGCCGTGGAATCACGGAGCGTAGATCACGGACCCGGAACCAGATGCGGACTCGGAATGATGACGCGACGCGTACAGCGGCATAACCCGCACCTTGCCTCTTGCAACGCACTTAAATGGAGCATGCCATCCTCATAATGCCTACAAGGCACCCTCTACATGAGCGACGTCGATATTCTCGTTCTCGGCGCGACCGGTTTCACCGGCAAACTCATCGTCAAGTACCTGGCGTCGCATCCTGAAAAGGCGACCTTCAAGTTAGGTGTCACCGTGCGCAGCAAGGCCAAAGGCGACGCACTTCTAGCACAGCTCGGTCTCGTGCAGGAGTCAGTCACCGTCATAGAGCTGGATGTAGCGAACTCGGCCCTGGTCGAGGCGGCTGTGACGCGTACGAAAGTGGTCATCAACACCGTAGGGCCATTCTGGAAGCATTCCACTCCCGTCATCAAGTGAGACTTACATGCCTCACTATCTCTCTGTATCGACGTCTGATGTGGAATTCCAGGGCGTGTGCCAGACAGGGAAAGCACTACGTGGACACGACCGGTGCGTTTGGCTACGTGTCTAATCTACTCTTCCACTGACACAAAGTCTCGAAGCCGAAACATTCTGGATACACAGCGTTCTTCACGAGTACGCTACTCCTACTTTCGACGCCTCTGGAAGCTGACATGCATACAGAGTGGATTCACTTGCGTCGCAAACCGGAGCTATCATCGTACCCTCATGCGGTCTAGACTCCTTACCCGCAGACCTCAGCGCTTTCCTCTCAGTTCGCGCTCTCCACAACTACTGTGACTCCCATCGCATCACGTGGTCTGGTAGTGGTCGCTCGCTTACCAGCTACGACATGCCGATCTCTCCTAGCGGCGGTACTCTCGATACGGTGGCGTTTGCATTATCGTCCGTACCGCGGGAGGCACTTCGCGAGTCCCTTCAGCCATACGCACTCAGCCCTGGTGCGTCCGCTTGTCTTCTTCCTTCCTGTCTGTTTGACGCTTGTGCTCCTTCAGTGAAGGGATCAGAGTCCCCCGTGTACAGGTTCATCTACCGCATGCGCGACGCCAAGTACTCGTGGGGTTCTTTCTTCCTCATGTCCCCTACCAACCGTGCGATCATCCATCGGAGCTGGGGGCTGTTCGAGCGGCAAGCGCAGTCCGGCAGCCCTGGCGCATCGTACGGTGCTGGATTCGAATATGACGAGTTCCTCGCGGCGTCGAATCCGGTATTCGCATTCTTAGGCAGCATGTCGATCGCGATCGCCGGACTGCTCATTTTCTTGTCGCCGGTTGAGTTGCCTATTTTATGAATGAGACGCAAACTAATGTCATACTGTTTCAGGTGCGATGGCTCATCAAGAAAGTCGTCCCGCCTGGCTCTGGTCCGTCGGAGAAGTAGGTGATATATTTGCTACTGCGCTCGAGATACTCACTCACAGTTATCATAGAGCAATGAACAAAGGCTATATCAGGGCAACGAACGTGACGCAGCTCGCCGGTGACGCTCCCATCCGCGCACGGACCGAGATTGTCGGGAAAGGCGATCCACTCTATCTCCTTACAAGCGGTACGGGACATGGCCCATGTCACGCATCGACGACTGACACCGCAACCGTAGTAATGATGTCTGAATCCGCTCTTGCTCTTCTCTTCACACCGCCTGAGACGCTTGGTCCGCTACCCGCCGCTGGTGGTCTCCTCACGCCCGCCACTGCCTTGGGACAAGTCATTCCGGATCGTCTGCGCCGCACCGGTCTCTTCGATATCACCTCGCAGATTTTGGACAATGGAGCGCAGGAAAGCGTCTAGAGGCGCAGTTCAGCCCAAGCATATTCGAGGTTATGCTCGCCCTGTAGATGGTCTCCGAGTCGTCTCATGTCTGTACGCAGTCCGTTCCAACGCTGTCTGGTAATCAAGCATCTAACGTTTCGCCTCGCACTCAAATCGTCTGCTATCGTCAGTGCTTATTGTTTCATCGCATACCTGTCTCTAGTTTCAGAACCTGCACACACTGGTACAACGAATCTTTGTTTTCCAACACCCTAAAGTACATGTACACCCACGAGCTGATACTAAGCAGAGCCATCTTCAGTAGGCAGGGGCCAGAGTGCACTGCTCGCCTCCTTGGCATAGGTCTCAACATCGTGACCAAACATGAAGAACCGGAGGAGCATGGCTGTCCGTAGTCGGTAAGATAAAGAAAATTGGTGTTTGAAGTACTCACGATTCGTCGTAGCTGTCTTCATGCCGTATCCCTGGGTACGCGATAGATACTGGATCGCATCGGCGCGATGCTTGCGCACATGCTGGTAGACCGAGAGCTTGAAGGGAATCTCTTCGGCAGGTGTTGCCCCGCGCTTGAAGATGACACCGAGAGCAAGGGCGTCCTCAAGCGCTTGGCAGGCGCCTTGTCCTTGGACTGCATCGAAAGTTTATAATCTCGACACACAGACTATGAAAAGACTCACATGGCAGCATTGCGTGAGCCGCATCTCCGAGGAGAGCCGTCTTGCCCTTGATCCACGTCGGAAATGGGAAATGCTGGCGCAGCGGCCACAGACGAATCTGATCCTTCGGTGCAAGCTTGATGATGTTCAAATACTTCTCGTCGAATTCCGTAAACTGCTCGAGGATATCCTCAATCGTCGCAGGACGGTTCCAGTCTGTTGCAAATGAGCACGATGTTAGAGTGAGGGAGAAATGCAGCTTACCATCTCCAGCACGACCCTCAGGATCAGGGTGGAAGCATAGCACGTTGAGCAGCGTATTGTCGCGACAAGGGTAGAACATCAGGACCTTCTCGCCGCCTATGACTTGTCGAAGCCCAGGGCGACCTTCAATAAGGAAAGCCTTATCTGGATCATCTGAGATAGCCTCTCGCGGGAGAAGGAAACGGAAGGCCGAGCGGCCAGAGAACGATGGCTTCGGGTCTTCGTGGGGCGCGAGGACTGCTGCACGGATGGCTGACTGAAAGAAGAGCTGAGTGTCGCGGGGATCATGAGGTAGCAATGGGAGACACGTACGCGAATGCCGTCCGCAGCGATGAGAATGTCTCCGGAATGAGTTTTCCCATTCTCGAGCGTGATCGTCGCCGTCTCTGGGTCTGCGCCGACAACCTTGGAACCAAGATGGAGCACGGCTGGAGGACCGAACGTCGCATCATTAGTCTCTCCTGTAGCTAGTTCTCGAAGTTCTCCGTGCAAGTCCGTGCGGTGAGCTGTGAACCAAGGCTGGATTCATAGCGAGTCAGCAGGGTGCGTGGGAATTGCACGAGTCTAAGCGACGGCGTACCGAGCCGAACGCCTTCTCCGCCATACGCGTGTCCATCTCTGGCTGAGCCGTCCCATCGGCATTGAAGATACGCATCTATATCACGATTGAGGAGAGTGAGGAAGTGCATCAGAACCTCAGGTGTGCTTCGCCGGTCCGAGAAAGCAACTCGTACGTACTCCTTCCTGCGGAACGACGCGCATGCGTTCCGGCGAACATCCCAGCTTGAGGAGAACGCGCGTCGCGTTGGGGTGCAGACCCACAGCCAGCCCAACCTCGCTCGAGAACTTGGACTGCTCGAAAAGCTGCCGCGAACGTGTCAATCGTCGACGATCATCCCTAATCTGGGCGACTCGCCTCGACGACGTGGCCCTGGCGACGCAGCGCGACTGCGGCAGCAAGGCCACCGATGCCTGCGCCGACGATGAGGAAGCGCAGTGGGGGATGGACGGGGAGCGATGGTGGGCCGGACATGATAGCGGTTGAAGGAAGAGAGGTGTCAAGCCGCGGACTCCGCGGGGCGTGCTCGAGGTCGAGAGCATCGACTTATCTACGTACTTTCGGTGTACGGTCCGATCCCCTGTGTGTTTACATCATGCAGGATCATCAGCCGGATATCCCGGCAATCAAGGGCGTAAGGAGTAAACGCCGATGAACGCCGGTGCCTAACGCTCAGGCCCTCAGGGAGTCCAGCAGGAGAAAGATATGGATAGCTAATTGCAGCAGCAAACGTTCCAGCGTCTAACTTACTCGATGTTGATGCTCCAGTCCTCCACAATCCTGACCTTGGGGTCTTTGATAATGAGCTTGCTCGCAGCGCCCTCCTTCTTGCCCTTCGCGGCACTTCCCTCCACCCACTGGAACTCCAACGCGCCAACGCCAGGGGCCGTGACGCTCTTCGGCTTAGCCGATAATCCGAGAATGACGACCTTCTCCACGCGGACGTCCTTGATGCTCTCAGCGTACGCGTTCTGCTTGGGATCGTACACGGCGAGCTCGACACCGTCGGCCGCTTTGCCAGGGTTCAGGGCAACGAGATCCTTGCTGCTCAGCTTGCCCTTCGCGAACTCGAAGGCGCGCCACACGAGCGCTCCAGTGCGGAAGTCGTACGACTCGCCATCGTCCAGGTACAGCTCGCCGGTCGCGGCGCCATCGCGATCCAGAGCGACAGTAAGCATGAAAGGATCGCGCTTCATGAGCGGGCTAGCGCGACGCGGGCGCTCGCGCGTCGGTATAATCGAGCCGCCGCGAATGAAGAGCGGGATCTGGTGCAGCTCGGCGGCTACGGTGATCTCCTTGCTGCCGCCGCGATAGATGGCGTGCGTAAAGTAGTCGTAGTACGGCTGGTCGTCGGAGAGGTAAACCTTTGCCTCTGTCGTGTCCGGCGTCGTGACGGGGCGAACGAGGAGCGAGTTGCCGACGTAGAATTGCTCGTCGATCGAGAAGCCCTTGTCGTCCTTCGGGAACACGACATACTGCGGCCTATGATGCAGTGTGATCAGTACCGAGAATATTAAAGTACAGGTCAAACCCACCTGAGGATAGGGAGGCCACGGGTAGCCGCATCGTGGAAGAGTGTAT